ACTAAACCTAAGGAAATAACATGAAGTAATTCAATGGCATGAAACTTAGAACAAAAGCAAAGTCGTAGTTGGGTATCCCTTATTGTATGGCAGCTAAGCAGTTGGATATCACATAACCGGATAAAGTATATGAACAAACTTAGTGTTGGCTCATACGCAAACATTGCCGTCATCATCAACCCCCGTGTCACGTGTACAACGTATGCAGCATCTCGGTCCTTTTCATTGTCCGTTTTGCTTCAGCCTCTCCAGCCGCTGGAGCAAAGCATTCCCAAAGGCTTCTCTGTAACCCGGACTGAGCGTGTCTAGGAGCGAGTAAACAGTCTCGTGATACTGAGTCGTCAAATTCTCGTCCACTTGATCGAATGCGTAGCCCACCACCTGTTTGGGAAGAAATCAGTGATTTACTGTAAAACCTCTGCACGGTTTGGAGTCTTAAAAGTGAACGCACGTGGGTAACGTGTCACTGTCACTGCATCGTCTCACCCTCAGCCCAGCCTCGGTGAGCTCCAGACAGTAGCGGTTTCCCTCTCTTGTTTCCACATTTATGTAGGCCACATCGGATGCGCTGTTGAGACTTTGTGACACGTGCATTTCAGACACAGCAAAGAGGACGTCGTTGACCACTGCTTCAGCCTCTAGTCTCATGTCCTTGACGTCACAGAGCTCAACAGACTCTTCATCAAAAGCAGAGACCATGGACTCCTCAGCCTGGCAGTCTACCTCCATCCCCTATAACACGTTAAAACAACAGCATTGGTTGATTCAAGTGTGATGGGCATAAATTGAAAAATGGTGGTTTTTACAGGTTACATTCAAGATTTTTGAGAAGATTAATTAGTTTCAGACTATGCTAACAAAAAGAAATAAAAAAAGACGAATTAATCATTTGATATCATTGTGAATTGAATATCTTAAGGGCCTTTACTAACCTAAACTGCTAACCAAAGTGCTAATCAGACAAATAAGATAATAATTCAAGATTTTGACCCGTGAGGATCTCTTTTGCATTTCAAAATACCAGATTAGTTTAATTTAAAAAAAAAGAAGAAAAAACTAAACAATCATAATGAACAAAGAAAAAAGCTTTAAAAAAGGAAACGGGATGCTAATTTATAAACAAAAATTCCAGTCACATAAATGGGAAGAAATATGCAGTGAAGCATAAACTCAAACTCATGGAGAGAAGTCAAAACGCCCAAGGTATCCGAAATATCTTCTAAAGTAAATGAGGTACACAAACTGGGACTCACTGGTCACGTCCAAAATTAGATACATAGTTCACCAAAAATGTTGTAAAAGGGACAAAGTTTGCATTGCTCAGGTGAATTCCAGCAGGTTTTGAAGGATTAGCTAGTAAACGTCTGTTATGATTATTTTTGACAGCAGCAATTAAACGCATCTTGATTATAAAGTTAAAACTAGATCTGCCAACATACCATATGTAGTCTGGTGAGGTATGGGGAATCTATCTGATAAAAAATAAATAACCTTAAGACCATAGAAAGATTTATTTATCATATTTCTATGATATTTAAACAATGAAGCCAGTATGTGCCAAATCTGTGTTTAGCTGTTAGCATGCAACCTTCATTTCACGTATCCGTCTGTGTGCTTTGGCCCCCAGTTTTTGTGTCTTTATCTGATTATTAAAAACAGTCTGTCATTGGTGGAATCTGTACAAGCTGTTTAGGTGTTAATAAAAAATTAAGTTCTAAAGAAAAACAACCTCTTTATACAGGATATAACTAAACCAAAGCCAAGCCTGATCATGAGCTGGTGGATGTTAAAAGGTTAAGAGATGCCTAGTCTTAAAATTCAGTTTGGTTGGTTTTAGACTTTAAGACTTTTTTAGGAAACACAAAGCCGTCTATCCACCCATTTCTTCTACTTATCCAACTCAGGGTCACAATGGGACTGGGGAATGTCCCTGAATAGGGTGAGAGGCAGGTTACACCCCGGACAGGTCACCAGGGCTACAGACAAAAACACATCTGTGTGTGTCACATCTGATCTTCCTGTGACAGTATATCTCACCATGTCTAAAGCAGAAGTGAAACATGAGGATCTGATGTGTTTGTTTAAAAAAAAAATGAAAAGTAGACTATTTTGAATACTTAGCATCTTGTAAGAGCTGACTGTGTGACTAAAGGTTAAACCTGTATTTTTTTGGAGCAACCACTGGACAATTTTAAATGTTCGCTTCACTTCCAGAGTTCAATACAGCTCCTCTGAGAAGGAAAACATTGCAGCTGACACGTATCTGAAGGGGATTTCTCAATCTGTTGTCAGCTGAGGGAACTTTAAAACACTCCCTCGACACAAGAATGGTTGTGTTGCTCCCGGCAACACAAAACAGCAAATTTTGATTGATGGAGGTATCAGTGTTTCCCAGTGCTCAACTGGACAGATTTACAAACTTTTACAGGCTTTTATTTTAATTTTCAAATTTGACTGAAAGCTGAAACCGTACCATACGAATCAGTAAAAACTACTCAACGTATCACCTGTTGGACTTGCTCCGTGGCAACAGGTATTTGTTGCGCAAGTTCGGTTTTGTCACACCACGTTTACGTCAAGCTGCATAACATTAGGAGCTTTTTTCCCCGCATATCTTGCTGTCTCGTGGTTCCTAACTGGTTTTTCATCATTCACACGGTTGGCTTGATGCCTGTATGGAAAGCAGCCTTGACCTAATCCATACCTTCGATGTTAAAAACACAGAGAATGATTTTTATGGGATGAGAAAGTAGAATAATGGACATTAAATACCATTCTTGAACCAGGAAGAGTGCAGTTTTTTAGTTTTCTGCTAACCAAAATGTTTTAAGACTAGGTTTTTGGCAAAATATCTTATAAACCTTAGATTATAAGGTTTATCCACCAAACCACTGAGGTAGTAAAAATGCTAGTGATCAAAAATTATTGGAATAAATTCTAATTGTGTACAAACAAATTAGTGTATAGTCCTATTTGCTTATAAAAAAATGTCTACAGCAACCTCTCATTTTTCAACAGTTTGCCAGAAAATGGGAAGATGGAGTGATTAATTGAAACATGTGCAAAGACACATGGAAATGCAGTATATAAGGTGAAAACAAGCTTGAAAGTCAATATTTTTTTGTAATTTCTTTAAGTAGTAGAATAGGCTTCTTAAAGGGCATTTAAAGCTTCTCTCTCTATGTTGGCTGCCTTTTGTTCTACTCTCTGTCAAGATGATCTTCAATTATGTTGAGCTCCTCTCTGGGGTGGCCAATCCTTCACTGACAGTCTTGTAATC